TACTCGTTTATTTTGCCTTCTATTTTATTTTATTTGTCATTTTGAGGAGAGATTTTTTTATTTTTTTCTGTAAAAATTAGAAAGAAAGACTAGAGTACTCACCCACTATCAAACTGTCATTAAAATTCGAATATGAGATCACTGATTTGTAAATCAAGACTCTTTTTTTTATTGAACTATAACCGTTCGTAGCTATTTTGGGGTGAGATAGTGTTAAAATTTTGACTTCTAGGGGCAAAATTATCCCACTCGGAGTCCAATGCGCCTGATTGTGTGCTCAAATTGACTATGCTCCAATAGAGAAGGACTACAAGTTTGTTATGTTTATTCTTTATGGTAAAAACAAAAGAAAAACGAGTTCTAAGCTGGCTCAGGTATGATTTTTTTTTTTTTTCTTTTTTTTGGTGGAACCTGGAAATCAATACCAAGGCACAAATAGTGCAAGCAAAATACAGAAGCAGGAGTCTAATTAGGAGAGGACTACAAGCACGCATACATCATAGCCGAAGACCAAATAAGATACAAGGAAAAGAAGAAACGTCATATAAAGAAAAGAAACAGACGATGCCATAGATGGGCAGAGGACGTCAAAATCTGACCTAGCATTCCTCAAGCGCTGTGAAGTGGGGGGCAAGGTAGACCATCTTTGTCCAAGATTCCAATCAATGAGTCTTTAAGGGTCCTCATCATGAGTCATCATACACAGTATTACAGTTGGTAATTTCACTCAAATATATATATGGGAGGGTAATTAATAATGAATGTGACAACTTCTTATTTTCTGTTAATAAATAAGATTTAGAATGAAAATGATGCAATTTTGCCGACTTTTATGCATGTTTTGTATGCCTTGAAAGTTCCGAGCAAGGACTTTAGGTGTCGTTCGGTAACGTTTTCCCACGCCGTTTTCCGTTTCCCAAAACAAAAACAACCCAAAGTGCGTTCGGTGGTGTAAACTAGGAAACGCGGAAAACAAAGTTAGAAAACAAACTCAACTTTTCTTCTTCAAGTTAGAAAACGGCTTTTTGTTGTTTTCCCCATTTTCAAAGGAAAAGTGAAAACACGAGAAATGGTTTAATGGAAACCCGGAGAAACCCACACGAAAAGAGGAAGACCCCACTGCCTCTCTCAGCGTTCCTCCATCTCTCTCTCTTCGCCGCCTCCTCATCTCGTCCTCTTGCAAACACAGTCCCAGACCCATTCCTCGTCGTAACCTGTCTCGTCTGTGACAAAATTTGGCTGATGGTTGTGAGAGTCTTGGTGATGAATTTCAATTACCTAATTTGGTTTTGTTTTATTTTACATTTGAGTTGGCCAAGATCGAAGAATTTGGTAGAATTCCAATCTGCTATGCTTTATTACAGTCACAAGGTATGTGATAATTAGGAGAGCAGAGAGAGGAGGAGAGAGAGATAGAGACAGAGCAGAGGGAGAAAGAAGAGAGAGACAGAGAGACAGAGAGAGAGGGGTAGGATTGTTCTTTTTTTATTATTTAATTGTATCTTTTTTAACATTAGAATTCTATTATTTTTTAAATCATATATATATAAATGGATGAGATATTAACAAAAATGACATTGAAAAATCACTCACATAGTATGCATTTTAATGGAAAATTAAAATTAAAGGAAGTCATCCAACAACAACAAAATGTTATTTTTTATTATTATTCTCAAGTTGTCATACCAGACACGTTTTCACTATTTTTATTTTCTGAATTCTTTTTCCAATTAATCTACCAGACGCATTTTTGAATCTTAAAAATGCAAATCCATTTTCTCGTTTTCCTTCTTATAAAATATTCTCATAAAACATGCTCCGAAAACGTTACCGAATGGGATATTTTTACTCATAATCAAAAGCAAATGAGGTTCTAATTCTGAGGATGATGATGTCAACAAACTAGTGAGTCATAACTAGGGAAGATAATAAAGTGGTTGTAATTTGAACTTCTAATTACTTTGGTGCGTAAATTTTCCAATAGGAAAATGTTAGGTATAACATATTGTCTAGCACCTCTTTAATAGAGGGTCCCATTATATTGGCAAGCTTCATCTCTATTAGAGAGATAATACACAATATGGTATATAAATGTGGTATGCCTAGCATTATCCTTCTCAATATTACATATCTTTTCAGTGGTAGATTCGCTTGAGTACTCATCAAAGATATGGAATTCATAACACAAAAAGATTGTCTACAAATCCTTCCATTGAATAATGCATTGGAGATTATTTGTTTGTCAAAACACCAATATCATTCTGATCGACACTCTTTGCATTCTTAATTTTGCATCTTTATGTATTGTTGCCTAATTGGCTATTCTGTTTGTTAGTCCAATTTTTGCTATCAACTTCACACAATAATTTGGTTGCGAGTCGGATTATAATTTCCCTTCTAGATTAAGTTTATGGTTAGAGGTACTTCCCTTCACAATGTCAATAAAAATTTCAAAATTGAATTTCCACCCTTATTGGATATGTGAAGTCTCATATGCGTGTCATGTCAGACTTCTTTACGGAAGCTGATGGTAGGAACTACTTGTGAGCACATATATTAACTTTGAGGACTACGAACATAAAAATAAAAAACAAAACAAAAAAGAATTTAACCTGATAATTTCATTAACCTCAGGTACGTTTTGCAATAAAAAAAATAAAAAATCATTATTGATCATACCAGAAGGAAGATGTTATTCTGGTCAGATTGGTGCTAGTTGGCATCAACAAAATCACACACAATAATATGAATGAATTAAATAAATTGTAATTTTTAATAGAAAATGAAACTCAATCTGTTCGAACTTTTCTCACATCCCATAAAATTGACACCAATACATGGGAGGATAAAAACTCAAAAACACCACTCTATCTCTCACATCTATGAACAAAAGAATTCAATAACCAGGATGCAATCTAGAGACCCCTAGAACTTGGAACATCAATCCACTGCAATTGAAGTTCAACTTCCCCACACTCCACATTTCTGAGTCTGAGGACTATGTTCTGGACAAGTTTTCCGTTGGACCACATGATGCAGCTCTCTTCAGCAAGGCAGTTTTCCCTAGTTGGTTTCACTCTGTCAATTATGGTTCCATCTGTTAAGCCTTCCAAGCGCATCTTCAAGGCTTTAATGAATGAACCAATCTCAAACTCTGCATCTCCCATTTTGTCATCAAAACTAAACGTATCTTTATCATACACACAAACCTCGGAAGATTTGCATCTGCAACGGAAAGAGTCAATCTTTCATCCCACTCAGGATTCAAATTCCTCTTCACCACTCGAGTTTTCAACTTCTGCAATATCAGAAAATTGGTTTCATAAGCAATCAATTGAAATGAACAAGCATCAAATCAAAACCCAGAAACCCGTAAGTCCAAATGGATCAAGATTCAAGAAAAACATCACAAAAATATACCATTTTCACCACACACACACACAAAAAAAGTAGCCAAATGAATTACCTGCTTGCCCATTTTGACAACAACATAAGGGTCACTGCTTCTCATGTCTCTAACAGCAAGGTTCACTCCTCTTTGGATGTGAATTCTCAGAAGCCCCATCAAGTTCTCCATCAAATATTAATCAAACTGGTTGTATGCTTTTCACAATTCAAGTAGCACCAAAAATCCCAGAGGAGTTTAAAAGGCTCTGTTTCTAAACAGTGAAGTGGTTGAACGAGTTCTTGATACCAAACCGCTGGCTTTCCTTTCCTTTTATACACAAAAAGTTGTGAAGACTATGCCTTCCTCTTTTGTGCTTTTACTAGAAGCCACCCATCATCCTATGTGCCTAATTATTTTTCAACGGCGACCAATCAACATCAAATCAAACCAGCAAGAGTCACGCGCTCCTCTAGACTCTTTCACTTTCGTTTTGCCTTTCCTTTGTTTTTCCTTTTTTCTTTCAGTCTGCATTTTTTTTTTTTAAGAGAGTGTACATAGTTTGACTTGGGGTCGAATGACTTACGGGTCGGGTTTTGTTTAGGTGGGCGGGTTTTTATTTGTTTAATTATAATTGACCGGGCGCCCCAAGGTGCCGGATTGTGATGGTGAATGTCACTGTGTGTGTGGTCAATTACAGGCTACATCCGGGCTTATTTGACTCAGCTCGACTTGGACTATACGAGATTACAGCAAGTATAATTAATGTAAATATGTATGTAATTAGGTGTTTCCTAATCATCATATAATGCGGTGTTACAGTTGATCATTCAGAGTTAAATTTGGGAGGATCCATAATAACAAGTAGGTAAAGACAACATTTTGGCGAATTTTTCCTTGATGAGGAAGGCTTTGGCTGGTATTAGGTCATACTCTCATCTTTTGTTAGTAACGACATGAATATCACTTTCACATGTGATGATCTGAGAAGATTAAAAACAGAAAGACAAACACGGTTTCGTTAGGGCAGTGAACCCACCTTCTCTTGCACTCAAGTTCGAATTCCTTTTCTCGTAGATTAAATTAATTTAAAATAATTTTTATTATTATGTATATTAAAAAAAAAATAAACATAAATATTGTTTGCAGTTGCTTATTAATGGTTTTGAAGATCCGGTCATCAACTTAATAATGATTCAGCACACTGATTTAATATATCATATAATTCTAAAACGTTATACACCCAATTTGACTTATGTGTGATCAATAATTTAAGGTCATTGCCGGTGACCTCAGATGAGACGTGGTTTAATGCTTGCAGCTAAAGCAAAGGACAATTTCAAATAAAAGAAAAAAATAAAATGAAAAACAAAAGCAGTAAAATTTATCTAAGTCTGCATCTCCCATTTTGTCAAACTCAGTAAATTTTAGAGATTTTCTATTTAAATCTCACACTTCTCTTAGTTCACCCCAACTTTTAATTTAAAATTTCACAATTTCTAAAAAAACCCCACTATC